ACTTTTCTTAGTGAAGCAAACTATAAAGTCGGGATCCTTTTTATTGTTGGTTTGTTTGCTTTGTTGTTCTATTTTGTAGTAATTTCTTCACGCCCCCAAATGTTATATTAACTGGTCCCCCCTTTGGGGTGGGGTACTGAACCTTTTTGCCCTTTTACAGCCATAGGATTTAAACTTGATGATTACATGGCGGTTCCCACCTCGGACGATCATAAGACGGCGACGATTTTGCATGGACGTATTTGAACGTATTCGTCGTTTTAGGAATAAGGAAGAAAGATGATACGCGAACTCGAAATGGCTTTTAAGAAATCTTTGTTGACGTTCTAATCTAAGTAGTTTCATGTCTGAAAACAGGTATGGATTTTAGAGACCATGTCTGAAAACGGGTGTGGAAAATGACATTTTTGTTCTGAAATGGGGTTTGTGTTGGAGAGCCGGGCGGCACACCCCCACGATGATTTTCCAGGAGTATCCCCTCCGGGAGTGGCGCGTCTCATACAAAGCCGATTAGGGACAATAGGAAGGAGAACTACTTGACCTTATTGCTTTTATGCATCTGATATTTCCTTTTGGAGGTCACACAAGGAACGATTTGTCAAGGGAATTTTTGTTGCTTTTTTTATGGTACATGAAAGGTTGTATAGTAAGAAACTCGTGATAGGCGCAGTAAAGTAATAAGTTATGGATATAACATACATAAAATAACAATGATAATATAAACTTATAGTTTTCAAATTATGTTTTCGACAACATCTGTGTACAGCAAGGAAACAGCAGTAAGAAAGAAGGGAAACGGATAAAGAAAAAAACCTAAAAGGTGCGAAGCAATTAAATTCTGGGACAAGGTAAATATATTATGTCTCACAAAACGCACAATATAGTGACCCGAAATAACGATCCTTGATATAACGATGTTCCCGGTATAAAGATGACGAGAATTTAGCGGACCAAACGTAAAATCAGATCAATACACAGTCACAAATTAAACACAAGAACATTACAGTGAGAGTAATCTCTGACGTTTCTGTCAACTTACTTGGTTTGTGCTTGGGCTATAAATAACTCTGACAACAGAAACATGTTGAAACAAAAACGACTCAAGGAGGACTGTTTCAAGTGTGCCATGAGCAATATAATAATGCATTGAAAAACAATAAACACGCGGAATCGACAAGTAAAGATTAACTTCAAATGTTTTACTGCGCTTTTCACAAACATGCGAACTAAACTGTAAAGTTCAAAATCCGCCTTCATAATTACGTTTTTCTCTGCCGTCAATCATAATTACGATGACAAACAACGATCCTTGAAACACTGTAACAAACAAAACGGATCGAAATTCACAAATCACAAACTATGACCTTTTGAAGTTTCCTTAGAGGTCCGTCAAGATGATTGACGGCAGCGAAAAACGCAATCGTCAGTAAATAGTTGGCTTTTGAACCTCAGAACTTGCATGTTTTTGAAGGGGTCTGTGAAAACGGTAGTAAATTTAGTTTTATTGCACTTGTACGGTTCACAACACAGAATTTACTGTGTATAATAAACTTTGAAAACTTCTAGTGCTTTGCAAACAGTGTTTAAGGACATTGCTGGGTGCCTGAAATGTTACATTAGATTACAAATTTAATTAGATAATGTATGCACTAAAAAAGTACATGTTAGGTTTACCCCCAAAATATCGAAATTTTCCTCAGTAATTTACGGCCATATCGTTATATCGGGATTTTCGATATAACGATTCCTCGATATAACGATATAATTTTACTGCTCCCTCTGTAAATCGTTATATCACGGTTGCAGAGTAGTCCAGTTTTTTTGTGACTATTTTTTTTCTCTGTGAGTGCATATATAATAAAATCCCAAAGTTTCATTCTTCCTCTGATCTATAAGGAATTTATGACGGTAACTGAAAATACGCAAGCGCATTTACGTCATCCTTTTGCCACGAAAAAACGGACAATAGTTTTTCCAGGAATCAAAGAATAGTGACTATTTTCTTTCAACTTTGCTCAAGGGTATTTCTTGAAAATATTGTGCAGTCCGACACTGCACATATAAGGTGCTTGTAATAAACCAAGGATTTATTTTATACTTTAAAAACAAATGTTAAAAAATGGCCTTTTCCCTTTGACAGTACGTGATCAAAAACAATATTTACACAATACAATGCAAATATGAGATTTAGGTCACTTAATCTCATGTACGTGATTCCTTATGCAACGAAGACACTAGTAAGTTTCTCGGTATTCATATTTGGCACCTTGCCACTGTATTTACGTATCAGGGGGCGTCTGTACAACGTACACAGGCTAGCGGATGTCAGTAAACCCCATTAAAAGGGGTTTAAAATGAACATAATAGCGCTATTATAGCCCCCTCTCCCTCTCCCTTGCGATATCTTCTCTATTCGTTTGTATTAATGGACTAGTTTACACCTTGCTTGCAGCCCCATCTCTTTGTCATCTCCGACGCCTCAAAATACCCAACCCGGTCATGGAACTTCTATAGTTTTATCAAGATTATCGGACAAAGTTCGTTTTCTTTAACGTTCTAAATGCCCGGCAATCAAAAATGACTGTACAGCCACCCTCTCCCCACAAACAAAATCGAGGAGAGGGGCGGCTGTACACAGGCTAACGAGACGCCTGATCCTTAATTTCTGAAAGGTTCTATTAAAAGGACATTGGCTTCGTCGCTGCATGAAGGATTTTCTGAACTTGAGCCGATGATTTTGAGGTTCATGCACTTGACCCGTTGCGTGATAGCGAAAACCTTTGAGGCTTGTCACAATTTATTAACGTACGAGACGGTCCCTTACACTCAGTGAAAATGCGAAATATTTTCCGCTTTGTCATCATTATTTTTGCGGGAACCTTTTTTGGACACATTTTGACAACATCCTCTCAGTTTTCTAAGAACCGACGGCAACAACTTCATGGATGAGGCACACCTCAATTTTTGGTGGGGTAAAAAATAAACATAAAGAGTGTTTTCACTGTCACGCAATGAAAAAATAACGAAACCATTGAAAGAAAGAAGCCAAGAAAATGAAATGTTACAGAAGACTCATAAATATACAACATATCCCAGTCTCAGGTCTGTGCAGCGCACCGATTTTTAGTTACTTACCGAAAAGTTTCACGTAATTTTATGGAGACGCCACGCTGGTGAACCAATGATGGGACACAAATATGGCGGCCGAAAATCAACAAAAGCTTACAAAGACATCAGATTTTCACTGCGGCGATAAAAATGCTTTCTTTTTGCTTGTAAGCTAATTAACATGCTCATGAACACATTTTGTTTTGCTTAAAATGTATAAACTGCTGAAAATCATAAGGAGAGAGCTTTTCTTTAACCAGACATCCCTGCCGAGGCTATCACTGTCACGCACTGTGAAAATTCGGAAATTCAAAATGCTGTATTTTCAAAATGAAAGACGCTACGGGGCTGGAACTTCAACAAAGATTTGCTTTTCGGTCACCTGCAGCCTGGTGTACATAAGAATTCAGAGGGTCTCGCTATTTTGATTTTAGAATTTAATGACGTCATGGTGAAAACACACTTTTTAGATATGTTATGGTATTTCTCGGAAAAAGAATTTCAGCTTAGGTCAGCTGGAGATACATGATAGCTATTACTTTCACTATCATGACACTAAAAACAGGAAGTGAAGGATAAGATACCAGGAGTTAATTTTAGGGTTTCCACAATGGGGATTCAACTTCGGGTCAGTGCAGCAGTATGATTGAATAAAATACGATTTTCTGTTACGTTACTTAGTGCCTGACATTATCAATGTCCAAATAAGATAACCTGCGTTTACTTTTCTCTTTTTTAATGTTTTGCCACTGTAAGACGCAGTTCAAGAGTAAAGATGATATCCTGAAAAGGGAAAAATAATAACCCAGAAATGGTAAGGTCACTAAATCACTATTTAAAGCTGCAGTTCTTAGAAGTATTAGGTAACAATCACGAGATTACGGAGAGCGTGCCTGGTCTCATCGTCGCTGTCACGCCTCGCTTATAAAAGCAAACGGTATCTCCTTGCACCCAACAGTTGGATAGAAACGTCTTGCTGCAAGCCGTGTCCATCTACGAGCCCCAGTCTCGCCCTCAAGTTCTCCTTGCCAGTTGTGCACGAGAATTTGGAAGTAAGTTGTGTTGTATCTAAACAATTTTATTATCTTTTAAGCCCAGGTCTTCTTAGGTTGATCGACCTACAGCTGGCTATAGTAGTCTCCAAGAGTAGGATAAGGCGATAAATATTTTGCTATAGATTCTTTATCATTTTATTTTTTTCATGGAATGCCTTCAACATCTAAGCGATAGAGTCGCCTACAGTAGTTACTTTTCAGATTTCTGTCTTCAGAAGATAGCACCCAATTCCCAGGGGTCACTTCCTTGATCAAGACAGCGACCTGCTCAGCTTACGTTCTAATATCCTTGTAGAAATTAATCAACCCTTTGTTTAGTCAGTAACGGCGTTGCAGCTAGGCTATTTCTCTGAGAGCAGACGTGATGTCCAACATGCTTTCGAAAAAATAGGGCGTTGGTAACTAAAGCTGGGGGCACTAAAAGACATTTTGTAAAAGGACGCGCCGTCTAGAGGTCAAAATTGGACCCTTATCCCTTCATATACCAAATATAACCAAAACGATACACCTTTTATTGACAAAAAAGCAACTTTAACTCGCTTTTCTCTTGAGTAACCTGTTTAAAACTTAGATGGACCAGCCGTCGTTGGTTTGGTCTTTTCACGGTTAACTTTGAAAGAGGCCTTTAGTTTTCCTTGCCCATTTCCTTACCACAGCTCGCGAAATCCCAACCCTTTTTTTATAATTATAATTCTAGCTTAGAAATGGTTCGCACTCGTGCGGAGCAGCCCCTGTATAGTCCACATGGAGGAGGGAGTGCCCCCTACCACCCCCCTCCCCGATTTCTTAGAACTGTCAAGGGTGATAAAATGATTACATTCTTCTTGCAGTTAGACCATGGATCTGAAGATTCGTATATTTTTCTTGCTAACTGTTCTGGGCATTGCAGTCTATCATGTTCAAGGTAAGGACCGAATATTTCTCAGATGTTTATATTAATTTGGTCACTCTGATTATGTGAAAACCTACCTCATGCTACTTCCGCAGATTCCGAGAATTAGATCAGGTGACATACTTCCTTTTTTAACCCTTGTACCGTATTTTTAACCAGATCCTCCTAGTTGGACCATTTTTCCTCTATTAAGCTATGGCAATGGCTGAAAATGAGATTTACAACTTCATTAGGGCCACAGTTTGCTGCTACTTGAGTGTAAAAAAGCTGCATTTCATTTTTGACGCATGCGCATATAAGCTATTTGTTTTGCGAATCTATTTCGATCTTTCGTCTTTTTCCTTTTGCTTTTTTAATTTAAAAATATCAAGTTTTTTGTTCTCTTAATCGTCTGTCTTTCCTCTGGACTTTTGGCTGGCTTTCTAAGAAAAGGAGACATTTTATCCTGAAACAGTGGTAGGTGAATACAGGAGCCCATAACCAGGGCTCCTGGTGAATAGCAAAATTGGCAGTAGTTTTTCTCCCAAAATGTGTTTAACGTTGGCAAAATTGGTTAGAGTTTTCGATCTGTGCAAAGATTTATCCTTCTTGAATTCGCTGCTTGCCAATTATCACTTAAACTGGAAGCTTAAAAGTTCAGGAATGCATAATCTTCATCGGCGTTCCATGTGGAACGAAATTGACCCAATCCGTCGTCAAGGGGTTAATCTTTCTACCGTCACTAGCTCTATTATTCTTTGCATTCATACATTTCAAGAAACGGATTAGGGATTAAGGAGTGGGGTGACGTGTGGGTATTTTTCTCTGCATATATTTTTACCTCAAGCACTCCTTCGACAACGAGCATCATAATTTCTTCTTCCGTTCAAAAAGATTGTTAATTCCAAGATTAAAACTTACAATGCTCGCTCCCCAGTCGCGTTCAAGTTCCTATCGAGTTCGAGTTCCAAACACAAATCACATGATATAAGATGACGTAATTCAAGTAATTTGTGTAACGCAACGCAAACGTATTACCCCTTCATGTAATAAGCCCCTCAAAATATAAGCCCCCCAAACTCGTAACGCAAAAAACCCTCCGATAAATCGCCCCTTCAAAATAAAACCAAGCGAAAACTATACAGTAACAATAAATTTAATCATTTGCTAAAGAACTATTACGTGTGCCAAATTATTGCAGTCAAACATTACTGTTTACGTAGTTCACTCTTCAGTCTTGGAGTGGATTTCCTCGGTCTGTATAGACGAAGCACTTGCATGGCTGAGTTTTAGAAAGATTTACGTCTTCAAGGCGAGTTTCAGTAAAAACTTGCTGCAAATTACTGACATAAATTTCCTTCCAACTATAAGCTAGACCAATGAATTTTGAAACGCAAATTTCCCTCCTTATATAAGCCCCACCCTTCGAATGTAGGCCACGCAAAAAAAAAAGCCCCTCAAAAAAGGCCTTTGAAAAATATAAGCCCTGGGCTCGTGTTCGGAATATTACTGCATCCTTATATTAAAAATAGAATTAACATAATATAATTCTTCTAACTTTTCGTGGAAAAGGGGCGCATCAATGGCTTTATGGGTATGGAACACGAATTTCCGTTTGGAATGTTCCGTGTGGAAAACCAGGACTACCTTTTAAGATGTTCATTTGCTCCCGGACACCCAGAAAGTCGTGTTCCATTTATTTTTCATCCGGAATTTCCAGAAAACTTTTTTAAAATGAAAATTAAACAACCTTCAATTTAGATAAAAATATTGTTTGTTGTTTACACAGTACGCTTTATTTGTTTGGTTTGGTTTGGTTTGGTTGAATTAATTTTTTTTTTCAGCTAACAAAATGTGTGACTGGCCCCGTGGTACTTGTACGTATATCTATGATCCCTGCCCACCAAACTGGGAACGCTGCCCTCAGTACGATTACGACTGCCCCGTAAAAACCAACCATTGCTGCTGCCGCAAGAGAATTCGTAAGTTTTTCCAAAGGGGTCACATCTTTTGTACATTTACTCCCGGAATTTACTGCATTTAAAATGAAGGTGATTGCCAGACGAAGTTTGATAGCCTACGCCGTAGCAGGCGCTTGGAAGTAGTGGGCGAAAGAGAGAACAGGCGCCCGCGAGGGAGACACGCGGTGAGAGACCGCAAGGGACTTGTGTAATATTAGATATACCATCTAAAGACAACTTAGTACAATGATATTTTTCAAAGTTTAATGTATGGAATAACTAATGATTACAAATTATAAAATAAGACATGACAACAAGCAGCAATGTAGAAGATATATATCATCAGATCAACACAAGTGCTTCAAAAACTGTGTTGCAACAGCTTTTTATTTCTATCACCTGTTGTTACTTAAGTTTCACCTGCTAGTTACTGGACTGAACTCAAATTCTCTAGAAGCAATCATTCAAAATCGATCTCGATAGTGACCATCATTTAAAATCTACCAAGTGGCGCCTCATGTGAGGCATGTAGCAGTTGCAGATTAAGTTTGACTTGAATAGTCAAATCATATTTTTATATTTATAAATGATTAGGTTGGCTCTACGTTCAAGACACACAAATTTGAATTCGGACAGAACAACAATGGCGTAGACCATAATGACGAGCGCCCAAAATCAGTATTAAATAACTCCTGCTCGTTTACTAATATTACAGAATTAATTTATTATAGTTATTTAATTCTTTATCTATTTATATCTTTTTATATTATGTTGTTTCAAGATTATTTTTTGTCTATTTTGATTTTGTAAGCCTCTCCTGATACTCCGCCGCCGAAGCCGCCGCCGAAGCCGCAGCCAAACGTGTGTGACTGGCCGCGTGGAACTTGTACGTATATATACGATCCCTGTCCACCAGACTGGGAACGCTGCCCTCAGTATGACAGTGGATGTAAACTTGCTACAAATCACTGCTGTTGCCGCAAGAGACGGCCAAGTAAGTTACTGACACACGCAAAAAATATATTTCCTCCCTTAATTAAAGCAAAATTTTTCAAACATTGCAATCTGATTGGCTATCAGCAGACGTAATTTCAGATTTCAGCATTGATGGACATTGTGATGTCATGCCCAAGAAATTTAACAGAACGCCCAATCGCCTGAATTGAATTGGGTCTTTTTTTTCCTTTTGTTTGTTTGTTTTATCGCGTCTAACAAAAACTGTTTGAAGATCGTGTTTTTCTGGCGTTGAAAAAGTTGAAATTATCAACAATTTTGTTTTAGTTATGATTAACTGGTAACAAAACTTCGAATCGTTCAATTCGCTCTGCAGTCATACTCGTGATTAAACAAATCCGACTCCTCCTTAAGGTGGTCTTCCTATGTTACTACGCTTTTCATAAACACACGAATTCTAAAGTTCAAAAGGCAACCTACGTTTGCGTTTTTCGCTGCCGTGAATCATCTTAGAGGACCTCATAGGAAACAGAACCTTAACTTCAACGGGTTTAAAAAGTCATGGTTTGTGATTTGTGATTGGGGGATTTCGATCGGTTTTGTGTGTTTCTGTGTTTCAAGTTTCGTTGCTTGTGATCGTAATTATGATTGACGGCAGTGAAAAACGTAATTGTGACGGCGGCTTTTAAACTTCAGAGTTCGCGTGTTTTTGAAAAGCGCAGTAATTTGTTTAACCACTCGACATATGATTATGTACCGAATTGGATTCCACCCAGTCATCTTACCGCTGTAAACAAAAAGAATAAAAGAATTTATATAATATTTAAATAGGGGGAAGGGGAACGACTTAAGCTTGGACGGAATACAAAGAAAAACATGGTTAGCAAAGAGTTTGGGAGTAAACACTGAGTTTTCACCCAGTTACACAACTTTTTTTGGTGATCCATTCAGCTGAAATTAAAAGCAAGTATCATCAGTTATCTTTTCGTATTATGATTAGGGACTCAAGCGGTTTCCTCCAAAAGAAGTTCGAACTGAACTTTAAAGTTAACGCAGTTTTTGCAGTTACAGCCATGGTAACACATTTACTTACGTTTCGAGTTGAAGGCCAAAAATAAATACATATTTTGGGGACCAAAAGCAAATTTGTATTTTGAAGGTGACTGGTATCCATCAGTCTCGTTTTCATGTACTTATGGTATGATTTGTTCCCATTTATTATTATTGTTATTATTATTATTATTATTATTATTATTATCATTTTTATTTTTATTACAACTGAAACCGGTAAAAGTAAATTATAATTATTTTACTCTATATAAAGCTTCGAGTTTAAACCTTAAAATAATTTGATCAAAAAGGGTTAGCTTTCTCGTCTTTCTCCGGTGCCGCATATTTATACAACGAAGTCACGTATCGAGGTTGTCCGCTATAGTGAGAAGTGATTCCATTTGCTTTTAATCGCTTTTTTTGATATACAAATCATGTCCAGTGACATACAAATCATGTCAAAGAGAAAGTAAAATCAACTATTACAGCTGATTCTTAAGTCGCAGCGAATCTCTTACTGAAAAGAAATAATAACAGCCTGCGAACCACAAGCTGAAACTTGGCAACGCTGCCCTCAGTACGATTACGAACTGCCCCGTAAAAACCAACCAACCAACCGTAAGTTTTTCCAAAGAGGTCACCTCTTTTGTACATTTACTCCCGGGATTTACTGCATTTAAAATGAAGGTGATTGCCAGACGAAGCTTGAACGTGCTCCAAATGAACATCGATTTCCAGAATAAAATATGCTGACGCAATGAATATACCAACGGCTGTACCAACTTAGGTCACAGGGAACCCCAACTCTGTTTAGCTATATACAGTAATATCATAATCACCTTTTGTTATTTGTGTTCCTGAGTCAAATTATGTGTCACTTTGGAAGGGATTTGAGTCAAGTTTCCATTATCATTACGACAAACACTCCTGAGAATTTGATCTCGGTGAGAGACCGCAAGGTTACTTAAGTTTCACCGCTAGTTACTGGCGTGGACTGGGCTCAAATTCTCTAGAAGCAATCATTCAAAATCGATCTCGATAGTGACCATCATTTAAAATCTACCAAGTGTCGCCTCATGTGAGTCATGTAGCAGTTGCAGATTAAGTTTGACTTGAATAGTCAAATCATATTTTTATATTCATAAATGATTAGGTTGGCTCTACGTTCAAGACACACAAATTTAAATTCGGACAGAACAACAATGGCGTAGACCATAATGACGAGCGCCCAAAATCAGTATTAAATAACTCCTGCTCGTTTACTAATATTACAGAATTAATTTATTATAGTTATTTAATTCTTTATCTATTTATATCTTTTTATATTATGTTGTTTCAAGATTTTTTGTTTGTAAATTTTTTCTGTAAGTCACTCCTTATACTCCGCCGCCGAAGACGAAGCCGAAGCCGCAGCCAAACGTGTGTGACTGGCCGCGTGGAACTTGTACGTATATATACGATCCCTGTCCACCAGACTGGGAACGGTGCCCTCAGTATGACAGTGGATGTAAAGTTGCTACAAATCACTGCTGTTGCCGCAAGAGACGGCCAAGTAAGTTACTGACAAACACAAAAAATATGTTTTTTCTCTGCTGATTGGCTATCAGCACTCGTGATTTCAGATTTCAGCTTTGATGGACATTGTGATGTCATGCCTAAGGAATTTAACGGAACGCGCCATCGCCTGAATTGAATTGGCTCTTTTTTTTTCCCTTTCATTTGTTTGTTTGAAGATCGTTTTTTTTAGCGTTGAAAAAGTTAAAATTATTAACAATTTTGTTTTAGTTATGATTATTTGGTAACAGAACTTCGAATCGTTCAATTCGCTCTGCAGTCATACTCGTGATTAAACAAATCCGACTCCTCTTAGGTGGTCTTCCTATGTTACTACGCTTTTCATAAACACACGAATTGTAAAGTTCAAAAGCTAACCTACGTTTGCGTTTTTCGCTGCCGCGAATCATCTTAGAGGACCTTTTAGGAAACAGAACCTAACTCCAACGGGTTCAAAAAGTCATGGATTGTGATTGGTGATTGATGGATTTCGATCGGTTTTGTGTGTTTCTGTGTTTCAAGGTTTGTTGTAAGAGTTCGCGTGTTTTTGAAAAGCCTAGTAATTTGTTTAATCACTCGTATGATTATAGACCGCTGTAAATAAAAAGAATAAAAGAATTTATGTAATTTTTAAATAGGGGGAGGGGGGACAACTTAAGCTTGGACCGAATGCAAAGACGGAAAAACATGGTTAAGAAAGAGTTTGGGAGTAAACATTGAGTTTTCACCCAGTTACACAACTTTTTTTGGTGATCCGTTCAGCTGAAATTAAAAGCAAGTATCATCAGTTATCTTTTCATATTATGATTAGGAACTCAAGCGGTTTCCTCCAAAAGAAGTTCGAACTGAACTTTAAAGTTAACGCAGTTTTTCCAGTTACAGCCATGGTAACGTATTTACTTACGCTTCGTGTTGAAGGCCAAAAATGCATATTTCGGGGGCCAAAAGAAAATTGATATTTTGAGGAAGACTGGTACCCATCAGTCTCGTTTCCATGTACTTATGGCATGATTTGTCCCATTTATTATTAATATTATTATTATTATTTTTATTATTATTATTATTATTATTACAAGTGAAACCGGTAAAAGTAATTTACAATTATTTTACACTATATAAAGCTTCGAGTTTAAACCTTAAAATAATTTGATCAAAAAGGGTTAGGTTTTTCGTCTTTCTCCGGTGCCGCATATTTATACGACGAAGTCACGTATCGAGGTTCTCCGCTATAGTGAGAAGTGATTCCATTTGCTTTTAATCGGTCTTTTTAATATACAAATCATGTCCATTGACCTACAAATCATTTTCTCGGAAAATCGCACACGATCACGTCATTTCTATGGTCTGTACTCAAATCGACGATAGCTCTCAACCAATCTGCCCGTCAGAGACATCACTCAGTGTATAGAGCTATAATAGCGTCTTTTCCGCAAGGTGTCGTCAAATGAAAAGTATCTTCTTTCATTATTTAACTTTCACAGTTGGAGATGCACCTTTGAAGTGTGACTGGCCTACAGGTGTTTGCAGCTACAACAAAGACCCCTGCCCACCGGGTACTGAACGTTGTTCCCAAAGAGATAAGGGATGTAAACTAGACACAAACTACTGTTGCTGCCGCACCAATAAACAAACCGGTAAGTTGTTGATTAGCAGGTATTAAAGGAGATGTGTCACAAATTTAAACAAGGAACTCACCAAATGAAAACATTAAAAGAAGGCATTAATAAGGGTAGCAAATTCAAAGGAAGACACGGAAGGACAAACTTAAAGAACAATGAAAACGGATTGAGATTGTGATAATTTTTGAAATCTTATCAGCCTAAAAATTTTTCAAAGCTCGTTTTAGTTGTTTGCAAAGTTTGGTATGGGAAGTATATTTGTTGGACATGAAATTACAAAATGTCGCTTGCAAGTAGTTCCTTTATTTATTTTAAATTCCATAACCCACAAGGAAGCGTATTAATTGCCAATTTAAACAAAATGAATAAGATAGCCGTGAATCACTGGCTAGCAGCGAACAACTCCTCGAGCGCTGCCTATAAGATAGTTTACGATTTCCTTTTTCTCGTAAGACACTGATTACCTTCATCACAAGAACCGCAACGAAGTTGCATATGTTTTTATATACCTCAAAAGTCCATTAGTTTGGTTTAGAGAACAAGAACTACTGCTTCTATACGGTAGTAGCAAATTTGACAATGATAGCTTAGTCAATTTTCGCTCTTCAATCAGTCTCGAGAAAGTTTTACAGATACTTACTAGAATTTCATGGGAGAAGAAAGGCTAGAATGTTCTTTCATTTCCTTTATCTCTTTAGTCTTTGAATAGATTTTGGAAGCCTGACAAACCTGCTGCTTCTTCTTCAGGAACGAATCCAGGGGGGGGATGTAGGGGGCGCGCACACCCCTCCCCTACTTTGTGGTTTATTGGTGTTGAAGTAAAACATGGTAGTTCCTCAGTAATGAACCCGCTCCTGCTAAAACTCCTGGATCCGTCCCTGTTCTTCTACTTTTCCCTTTTCCAAGTGAAAACATAGTGGCCAATCTTGGTTCATTTTGAGGAGAATTCCCCTCAGTGTTTACGCTTGCTTAATTTTTGAAATCAACTTTTCAGTCAAAGATGTGCCAAAGGTTAAGGTCCTGGCCAAGCCGTGTGACTGGCCAAACGGTACTTGCACATATACAGGAGATCCCTGCCCGCCGACCTGGAAACGTTGTCCTGAACTCGATGATGGTTGCTCGCTATCCACAAATCACTGTTGCTGCCGCACAACAGCCCGTAAGTAAAACAGTACAGGCATGTACAACTCAAGCCAAATAGCATATTTTTATAATGAATTCTTTTTGTGTGCTTGTTCATTATTTTGCTTCACGCATGTCAGTCCGACAGCTAGTACCTTATTCTTCATACTAATTAAGAAAGTGAAATCGAATGGTATCTGAACTTCTGGAACAGGCTTATGATCGAGTATCATAGGTGACCAATTACGCTCACAGTCAAGGGTAATTTTTGACAATGTTTATCTTATCGATCGAGAACTCCACGCACTGCTAAGTTCAGCCGATTTTCAAAATTTTCCGACAAAATACCTCGTGATAGAATTCTTCTTAGTGTGCCCCTTCGTGTGTTTAGGTTTTCTAAAGCGCCTTTTGAAGCCCTGGCATCTTCATTCATAACATTTTAAATCCTTGACGCCATCTTGGCACTGAGACCTAAAGGAACGTTGCCATCACGACAATTTAGTGATACTCAACCTCGTCCTTGAGTGATACTTTACTGAAATTGACGCTGTAATATCATAGGTGACGAATTACTCCTTAATTCTGGAGCGAAATTTCAGCGATAATTTGTAATTTCACATGTGAAATTACAAAATTGCCATGGCAACCTTCCGTACGTCTTAGTGTCAAGATGGCGACGGAGTTTTAAAATGTCATGAATGAAGATGCCAGGGCATATAAAGGCGCTTTAGAAAACCTGAACTCACCAAAGACCACATCAAGAAGGATTCTAACAGGTATTTTGTAGGAAAATTCTAAACTTGAGTCAAATTTAAGCTCTAAACGTTCGAGAGAGTGGAGTTCTCGATCGATACGATCCAGGATAAACATGTCAAAAACCCAAGATTGCTAACGTAATTCGTCACCAATGATATTAATAGGTAATCAAATGGTATACTCGTGAAATTAGGGAATAATTTCACTTGCGTTTTGTCCAAATCCTAATAAGGCTCGGGAAATTATAAGAATTTGGACAAAACGCGCGTGAAATTATTCCCTAAATTTCACTCGTCACCATTTTATTACACATACAAATTTGGCGCCAAAATTAAGGAGTAATTTGTTACCCATGATATTACTGGAATAATTCTGCCCTTCAAAATCTGGTAAAGGCATCAATGGTAAAAGTGATAATTTTAAACTCATAAGTTCATAATTCTAAAAGAAGATGAGTCTATTGCAAGCCCGAAAAATATTAGGGGATTCAACGGGACTCGAACCCATGGCCTCTACGTGAGCGCTACAAAAGAGTTCTACCAACTGAGCTATGAAGAGCCGTCCATTTAGGAGCAGCCCAAAATATTGAGTATTAACCCGCGAAAGGAATGAAACTTTATGTATGCCTTACAGAAGGAACGAACTCTGTCCGGGCCATCAAAGTACATTTGAAATTTGCACATTGTTTCCGTTTTTGATTGGCTGACACTCTAATATTATTCAAAACTTTTGTTGTGAACGTGAGCTGTCACTGAGCTGTGATAGAGTCATTTCATGTTCAGTGGCCCAGGTTAAGTTGGTTGCAGTCAACCTAGAACAGCTCACGTGGATGCTTGAACTTATTTTAACGTTTTTTTTTTAACTTTCATAAATTGGTGTTTAGTTCGTTTGTTAGCTTTATTGTTTTATTTATTTTATGTTATTATTTAATTGTAAGTTATTTCTTTAAACCTGTTGTAATGCCCTTTGTAATTTTGCACTTATGTTGGTCGGTAAATGTTGTTTATCATTTTTATCATTTCTAATATTAAACACTACTAGTAATCAATCAATCCATCAAACAATACTGACGTCCATTCTACGGTCGGTACGGAATACTAAAGGCTCTCGTTGTACTTTTTTACATAGATGGCTAAAAGGTATTGAACAGTTTTCACCACTATCTGTCGGGTAAACGTCTCAAAGTCCTTTGAAACAAGGTCAAATACCTGTGTTCGAATTTATCAGTGGAAAACCGGTGATTGATATGACATAATCATATTTTTTTGGAATAGCTCCTCCTGCTGGGAAGTGTGATTGGCCACGTGGCACTTGCACCTACTATAAGGATCCCTGCCCACCAAACTGGGAGCGTTGTCCTGACTTCGACATAGACTGTGAACTGAAAACTAACCACTGTTGCTGCCGCAAGTAAGAACGCGTTTTTACTATATATTTAATTCATTTATTTAGATGCTTCCACCTAGTTAACTTAACAATAAATAATAGAGAAAAAAAACTAGTAAGCGAGGGAGCATCTAACGGACTCAAAACATCCCGAGGAAGGTTACTTCCGAGTACCGTCCATGGAAGTGCCTAGTTAGTTAAAAGCTTACCTTCCTGCGTAGCCTAGGACCAGGCTCCGCATGTGGGAAAAAGGAGAAAAAATCGGCTTTGGCGAAAAAAACAAAATCGGCGAGCGAAGCGAGTCGAGAGGTAGTCTGGGGAGGGGAAAGGGTGGCGGGTACCGCTCGGCTCTCTTCGATTGCCGTTTTTTTCCTATTTGACTCCGTTTTTTGCCTTTTTCCCCCACTGCGGAGCCTGTTCCCAGGCTACTTCCTGAGTGAGAAACAATGTATGCCGTTGGGTATAAACTCCAGCCATGTGTAGTCTTTTTTATTATTACCCTCGATCACAAATACTTTATTTCAGTACCCCTTTATTCCAAACTCAAAACTTCTAAAAATTTATACAGAAAAAAAAGACCTATTGGTAAATAATATGTTGTAAAATATTGCAAGATAAATTGCATCACGTGTCAGGACTTGGTCCATAGATTTCATTTCCTGAGAAGAGGGGCGAGGGAAACTAATTGGTCACTGAATTTGGCTTTCAAGATATTTTGGGAAAAAAGTATTTGTTCAGGCTATTATCTAAAGCTTTACTGCTGCCACGGGAACGGCTCATACACCGCTTGAATTAAAACTTAGTTATTCCAGTAGGAGGCCAAATTCAAGGCAGCATTGCTCTGCCGATCTTTATTAAGCTTTAAGATAACGCCAATCAATGAAATGAAGCTTCGATTATCGAATGAGATTTGTAACGTGTGTTTTGGATATTAATAGATTTTTTTACTATATTTTAGGCAGTAATTCAGGACGCTGATGGTATCCCCAAACGTGTGATGCTACAATTAGAGTAGAGAAAATGAAGCAGTCCAATGAAACCGGCATTCTTTATAATACCATAAATCAGTCATTTAAAATCAGTTGAGTTATTATCAGCTAATTTACCAACTAGGTCCTCGGTGGGGGTTTGTGTCACGCTTCTACGTGAGAGAAGAGACTGGGAAGAAGAGGAGGAAATCAATCTCAATCACCAAGAGAAAATAAAGGAAAGGAAAGCCAACCTCGTTCCCAGGGTCTCCCTGGGAACGAGGTTGAAGGAAAGCCACATTCAGACATGCGCCTTTTCTCGACGGTCACGCGTCCGAAGTTGTTGATATACACAAGTCCCAGGTGTCCAAATCCTTAGAGAGTTCAAACGGGATTTTAAAATCTAGATACCCCATTGTCTCTTGGGACTTCTACTCTTTGGGACTTGATCTAAAAATAACTTTAGACCAATCACCTTCGAAAAAAGCATGTTTGGCGGCCAAACTCTCCTTCATTTTCTCTTTCGGCTTTGAACAAGATAGAATAATTTGATGCGTAAATGTTAATGATGCCGAATACTTCTTTGTTAAAGGCTTCAAATGCAGAATAAAGGATTTAAAGCAGGAAATAGTGCCACGTTGTTTGAGTTACTATATACATTTTGAAATCACTGGTGCTGCAATCTGATTGGCTCTTATAGCAGTGTGATTCGTTAACAGACCACACTCTTTTTGCTCCTAATCACGTCTGTTCTAAATAGACCTTTCCATGGTTTTTCAACTTTTGACATGTAAAAGTTAGGGAACATCCATCGACACCACTGGAAAGTGCGCCTTAAATTTAGTACAGTGATATACATGTATAAGGCCACAAAGTTGCGAAAATTCATAGACGTTTGTATGGTGGGGGGCCAGTTTGTGCCCTCTACCATACAAACGTCTTTAAAATTTCGTGACTTTTAGCAGCTTTTAATTCTCGTTAGTTTTCGAAAAATCACTTTCAAACTCGGCAATTTACTAATTTTAAAGTGCGATTCAAGAAAGTGTCAGATAAAATGGTTATTTTTAAGCGTTCGAGGTGCAATGCAATGTATAGTCACCACGAAAGTGAAAATACTCTCTATTTACTTACAGTATAAATATGGGATACGTTTTGCAATATTCATTAGGCACAGCCTAGTCCCTAGGCGTTCTCTGCTCGGTCAATCCTGGACTCTACCATGAGCTGTGACGTCACCGAGAGACACACGCCGAGAACGCCAAGCCAATACTGCCAGATCAAATATGGCTGCCCTTTTGTCAGGTTACTGCAACTTCAGCCGAAAGTTGCTGAAAATCCGTCACTTGAACAGGAAGAGTTTCTATGTGCATGCCACAGCGAAAATTTATTGGCTAGGCGTTCTCTCGCCCGCTCTTTCCTAGACTTCGCGCGGACAACGGGGCAGGAGAGAACGCCTAGGGACTAGGCTGGCCATTAGGCATCTAGTATTTTTGACATTCATAAAAAATGAGATACAAGTCTTCAATTGCCCCTATCCCCTAGATTTAATAGAAGGGGTTCTACATAACAGATGAAGTTAATTAAAGTAACGCCATAAGTATCTCCTTGAGTCGGAGCCTTGGAAAGTGAAAAGAGGTCGAAAGTAAAGCGAAGCACTTATAAGAAGAGTCTTACGGGCTTTTATAAGTAAGTAGGCGGTCCAATCACGATGAGCCCTAAAGATGTTTGAAGACATTCCCTCATACCTAGTGGTTTTGCCTATTTTCAAAGTAGTTAAGTAGCTTGAGTTGCTTTTCCTACCGATTAGAACAAGCTACAGTCAAACCTGAATTAAGCGGCCCTGTATTAAGCGGTAACTCTCTATTAAGCGGTCACCTGTCAACTGAGTCCCGGAAATCGCTTCCCTTACTTACTATAAACTTGACCTCCATTAAACGGCCACCTCTATTAAGCGGACGCGGTCACCCTTTCTAAGGTCCCAAAATGCTGATAATTGTTTTGACCCATATTAAACGGTCACTTTGTTTACCAAAAATAAATTCTAGGAGTTAAGTTCAGCAAAGTTAAAATCACAAGTGTAACTTGTTTCCTCAAATGTCTCGAAATCATCTGGCTGAGCAGTGACGTTCGGTTATTCAGTTTTGGATGAACAAGTGTTCTACGTTTACTCTGCTTGGTTTCTGTTTTCTACGTATTGTTATAGTTACTGGTTTTTAACATCACCACGCGAGTGTTTTTAATTGAAAAATACAAAGATAATCAAATAACAAATAAAATGCCATTCCCACTGAACCCCTGATGTTGAATTTTACGGTCAACCTATATTAAGCTGTCACTTAGCCATTCCCCGTGGGTGACAGGTTTGACTGTCTACTAGCGTTCAAACGTCCGATTTACATTTGCCTTGTGCTTTCCTACCATCCCACCCTCTCCTTTTCCGTGCACTGACACTTACTGGATCGCTTCTAAAATCAAGTTTAGCTAAGATTTAAGTTTTTTGTTACGGTTTTGAAGAGAATTAAACCGGGTCCTAATCAAATCAGAATACAACAGGAAAAAGGTGTTAGTTTTTAAAGCTCACGATTATGACATAACCTTCCTTGTGTTTGGCAATAAATGAACGTTCTTAACTATGTCACACACGAGCTGCTTTCTCCAAGTTACCGGAGATTCCCGCAAAGCAAGCACTGAAACGTCCTGAAAGTTGTGGCCTCCCTCGGAGACGCTTGTAGAGTTTCGTCACGCATTACTGGTCTTCCTGAACTGTGTTGTCTACGTCAAAGGGTATATGCGCTGAATATTCGTTGCAAGATGGTCTGAAGTTTTATTGCTTGCATTTGACCTTTGAAGTTGATTTCAGAAAACAACATTGCCTGTGAAACATTTTTGAAGCACATTATAGCTGGAAACATGTTGAGATACCCGCCCCGGAAATAAATCTGTGCTTCACCCCACGACCTCCGGTAGCAGGCGAAAATTTTCCTTGTGTGCAAGTGTGAGTTAAAAGCTGCTGTCATGGCGGTTGTCACGTATTGTCCTATAAGGATCGGAAAAGCTCGAGCTATACTGATCACGTTCTGTTTGTCAGTCACGTCCTGTACTTGAAAACTATTTGTTTGAAAAAAAAAAAGAAGATTAAGAAACAAACAGACAAAACAAAACAAATAAATCAGGGGCATCCAACGAGAATATAGTTCAAAACCAGCTAAACATAGCTTATTGAACGTATTTTAGTATTTAAGCGGTAGATATAGGCATGTTTTTATCCCCTAAAAATTTTTCATCTCTTCCGATTTCCTAGCTGAAAGTCTACTGATCCGAAAATTATAGGGGTCAAAATTCACCTTTTCGAAGATTTCAGCCAGAAAAAAGGCTCTCGAAAATTGTAGGTGACCTTTTTAGGGTAAAAATCAGTTAAAAATGGGCAATTATACCTTTTTGGGGGGTTCGAAAATCCTAGGAGAGGCAGGCAAGCAAGAAATTTAACAACAAATGTTCCGAAAATTCTAGATCTCAAATCGTCTTCCGAACAGATATTTTCCAAAAGTTGTCGTTGGGTGCCCCTGATAAATCAGCGAGAAAATAACGCCTGACCGAAATCTTAATCATTTGGCTGTATGGATGACCCTTTACAGCCAGTTCTAGAAGAAAATTGATCATGAGCCATAACCTTTCCAACGTGCATGACACGTTATAACCGTACGGTGTTTCCGGGGATACCAGTTGCCTGAGCGACTAATCATTACCACTTTTGAATAATTCAAGATCATAAGAGTACTTCCCTTCTTCTGTGAAAAAAAACAAACAAACAAAACAATAATATGATTTTTAAACTACTACAATACGGCTTCCAAGCAAGCCTTTCATATAGAAAAATAACGAACGACAGTTCTGTTTCTGCTCATAGGTTTAAGCTCCTACATTAACATAATGTCAAAAATTTGTTGCACAAAATTTGTCGTCAAATTAATTGCCAGTGAACTAAAACACGTTTACTGTTACCCTAACCTATGGTTTGTGACCTATGCTTTTGAGTACAATTGTCTTGGTCCGGGGGCTGGGGGTAGTACTTCCTTACTTCCAAAACAGGTACTGTATGTGCCACTAAACAATTTTACTAATTGGCGTCTTAAATAGGGTTTCTTTTTCCACCGATAGCCAATAAAAGTTCTTTTTTTAATTTTTTTTTTGGTTCAAAAGAATGGAATTCCACGTCATTAGTTTAAAAAACTGCTGCTATTTGTACAGGGTCATGGAATAAGGTATCTTGTTTAAACAGAGTAAACAGCGAAATGACCGTTTTCTGTCTTAAACAGGGTCAGGGTTTTGAAGTACTCGGCGGCGGCAAACCTCTCCCCAAACTTCCCTTGAGTGTCCTTCCCCACCCCCAACAGCGGTTGTGATAAACGTCAACAGTATGCAATATAAGGACTTGGGGACTCGATCCCTGTTAGCTTAGTTATACACAGTGGTCTAGGAATTAAACATAAGACCAGTCTGAATGTTGTACAACTTTGTCAATTTGCACTGAATTCAAAGTTTAAATTAACTCATGAGCAAAGTCAGAGTAGCAACGTTTAAACCAACACGGCTTCGGCCATCTCTCGACCATTTGACGTCACTATAAACTAGAATGGCACGACTATGTATATACGTGGTTAGTCAATGTCTAACGTAGGAAAAGCTTTATTCGTGGTTACTCAAAAGTGCTGAGTATCATACCACGAAACGGGAAAAGCGTGCCTGGATTCACCGTAGCTGCCACTGGACTCGCCTATAAAAGTGAACGGTGATTCCTTGCACCTCACAGTTGGATATAAACGTCTTGTGGTACGTAATCTAGATCTACGAGCCTCCGAATTTGTTCTCAAAAAGTTGTCATTGCCTGCTGCGCACAAGGAGTTAAAGTATAGTAAGTTGATTTATTCAAAAACTTAAGTGCAATTTTGGTCCAGTGAATCTTAAACAAGTCTCAGTTTAAGCTCTTAACTTTACGTTTTCTTAGTTTGATCGGACGCACAGCTAGAGTAGTTGTAATGTTGTTGTTGTTGTTGTTTTGTTTGTGTTCGTCTATTATGTATGAGGGAAAGAATATTTAATTAATTTATTTATTTCTTCCGTAAGAATGTTTTTTTTTAACATTTTAAAGCAATAGAAAACGTTTTCCGTCTTTGCATAGCCTGATATAAACACGAGAGGGGTTGGGAGAATTCGAGACAGTTATGCAAACCGTCTACTTCGTCTCGGGTTTTGCATAACTGTCGAGAATTCTCCCAACGCGTCGAGTGTTTATATCAGGCTATGCAAACACAGGAAAAACGTTTTCTATTGCTTTTAGAAAATAACTTTCCCAAAACAAAATGCAAAACTCTTTGTATGGCACTGATTAAAAGAGAAATTCTTACCAGTCGCAAAGTCTTGTCCACGAAGTCTTGCACGCGTTATCAGTTCTTGTTTTGCAAAAACATGCTTTCCAAAATACGGACTTTTCTCGCTTAAAATGTCAGCTTAAGCGAAAAAAAATTGACACACTTTCTTTGTGACGATTTTCCAAGTTTCAGCCGACGAAGCAATGGTTAAATAAAAAAACTTTTTCAAATTCGTGCTTGCGTGATAAGGGCACGAAAAGCAAAACATCTTGACGCGACAACCATGGGTTTACATACTCTCACGCAAACGCTTCTCTCAGCCAATCAGAGCGCCCGTACTATTTTAGTTATTTTATAATTTAGGGTAGAACTTAAAAAAGCATATACTGAAGGCAGCTCCCATATTCTTAGGAAAGTCGTGGTAGAGTAGAATTTTCTGACCATCTTGGCTTTTGTGCTGTGGGACTGACGTGTAAAATTCTCGGATAGGACTGGGCATTCTATGTGAGCAGGAGCTCATGTAGCCTGAGTATCAGGCCTTCCTAAGGGGCTAGGGGAGAGGAGATTTTAGATGGGGGAGGGGGGAGGGGGAGAAGAGAAAGGAAGGTTTCTCTCCTTCAGCTCTCTCCCTTTTCGCTTCCATCGTTCCCCTTTTCCCCAGAAACGCCTGATACTCAGGCTAGAGCTCATGATGCGAGGGAACTTTATGTATCAAGAAAGCGACAATAGATAACAATTATTCACCGAAGTAGAATTGGCTAGTGGTATGGATATTTACCGAGAAGATACCGAGGCCGCGAAGCGGCGAGGTAAATATCCACCACCACTAGCCACCGACACTGAGGTGAATAATTATTTTAGTATATACTAAAACAGTGAGATAACTGAGCACAAAAATGATGATTTTTAACTCAGTTACTGTTGCCAACGATTACAATTTTGGCGCGCAATGACCGAACAACCGTGGTCGTCGCTTTTTCATGCCGACAAATAACACTTTTGAAGGCATTTGTTTAGCTCTTGCGAGGAAATTTCTTCAACAGCAGTTGTGAATTCTTTTTGTATTTAAAATCATTCTGTAAAAAAGATTATTAAATTTAGTTTTAAGCTTATTCATGAACTGAGTGAACTAAATAAAGTAATGCAAGACTTAAGGTTAATTTGCATTTGTAAACAAACAACTTTTTTACGGCCGGTTTTATCGATAAATTTAAGTCAAAAAGACAAAGCTTTGCCTGTTAAAACTTCCAAACCGAACTTCGTCACCTTCTTCGTGTAATTCGGGAACAGCTTGCTTGATTAGTTGTGAAATTTCTTTGCTTGTTACGGCAGCAAACCGGGAAGGCATTTTGCTTGCAACTTACGCGAGTTTCAAGGGCGTCGCTCGCTCGGAGAAACTGGAGATGAATCAGTGAATAGTGCAGGATATATTCAATGATTGAGTAGCCAATCAGAACGCGCGAAAAACGCTATCCACTGTTTTAGTATATACTAAAAATAATTAGGCACTCGTTACTGATCAGTATCAGGACTTTTTTCCCTAGCCGGCGCTGATCATTGCTTTGAGAGCAGAAGTTGCCTCCTTACGTCTGGGTTTTGACATGCTAAGACGTAACAAGAGAAATAAGGCAAAAATAAATGACTTTTCTGTAATTGCAGGTCGACCATGCATCTGACGATTCGCATATTCCTTTTGCTGACTGCTTTGGTTATTGCATTGTATCATGTTGAAGGTAAGAATTGCCTTTTTCTTAGAATTTTTATGTTTGCTTTCTTGTCTTACACTTGCTACAATGTGAAAAATTTCATTATGATTTTCGGCAGAGTTGGAAACTTGGCAGTAGCCTTATTTATACGGAGCCTTCCAGCTTTAGATGAGCGTACTTTGTTAAAATATATTTTAACCCTCGGACGTAAAGGGGGGAGGAGGGGATGGATGCCACACCCTCCCCATAAGGTTTTTCTGAGTTTTTTCCAAGAGGATAAAACATCAGTACCTGGCGTTTTCAGTAGCTGTTCATTCATCCCTCGCTCGTATTTTGAGACAAGTTTAGTGATGGTCAGTTGATATGGTTACGAGATATGACGTCATAAGTAACAGGTGGTCAAGCCAATTTGGGGTGAAAATGCATGTTTTTTCAACTTCTTTCAACAACAAAAGTAAATCTTGTGGCTAAAATCATGCAAAGTGCTTATTTATGTGTTATTTTTCATGTAAAGCACAAAAAATTACCATTTCTCGCGGTTTTAACCTATTTCTTATTCTTGGTAAAATACAAGATGGCGACCATAGTTGGTGACGTCACAGGCCCCCAGCAGCGCCACCACCCTTAAAATATACCTCAACTTGTTAAAAAGATCAAAGGCCTTTCACTAAAGGTAAAATCGTTTCAAAATACTGCAACATATCAAAAACTCCGGGCAGGGGTTCCATCCACTCCCCCCCCCCCCTTGTACCACTGTGGGGGTATGAATTTGCGTGTACGTTCGTCCGGTTAATTATTTGATAGGTGTACGTTGGCGGCTTAACCACTGAACTCATTTACTTACTTACTACCCGCTATAATTAGCCCATGTAATACTATATTAAAATTTTCACTTTTCTTCAGCTCACCAAAGATGTGACTGGCCGCGAGGTACTTGTTATTTCAAATACGACCCTTGCCCAGCAAACACGGAACGCTGCCAGAAGTACGATCACAGTTGTCCGAAAACAAATCATTGCTGCTGCAAGCGATCAACTCGTAAGTTTCTTCAAAGGAAGCTTTCTTTTACATGTTGTGAATTCATTTTTCCTTATTGATTTTGTGATGACCTTATTCGCCACTTTAGAAAAGATAAGGAGACTGGTGCCGAAATATATACCGCAATTGTTTCTGGGATCGCTACTGGGGACGCACCGGAAGTAAGCCATGGGCCATTTTTTTCCCATGCCCTTATTAAGAGTCCCAGAAGGCTTTACGATAGTTAACTTGGCCCAGTTCCCCTCTCGTTTCTGAGGTGGAGAATTGTGTGCCGGGCCTTGCGAACCAGTACCTACAGCTACTGAAAAATATACTGCAGAAAGCAAACATAGCGTTAGTGCTTCTGAGCAGATGTACTCTTTATCACTTGGAGCTTTGGTCTTTGGCACCGATTTATCTTCGTGCTTTATGTAGGGGCCTAAGTCACAATATCAAAAATGCTCTTTTGAATTTTAGGAGGCGAGATACAGACAAAACTCCCAGGTTTCATTGCGAGAAATAAGTAGACGAGGTCTTGAAGCGTCCAAAAGTAAAATTTGAAAAAAAAAACTGACCACGAAACTGCTGCAATTTTGGCTAGGGACAAAAAATATATATTTGGGAACTTTTGTTAGTCTAACCTGGCTAGAATGCTATTGTGGAATGTACGAAGTCAAAGCAAAAATGATGCTTTTTGAAACTATGCCGAAACTGAAACTGAAATGGTCGTATGTGAAAGTGACTACGTAAGAGGTCTTATTTGAATGGTTTTTACCCTGCGGAGTAGCTTCCACGAATGGAGGAAAAGGCATCTTGATTCCGGACGCGAAAACTGAAATGTACAGTCAGTGCATGATTGACACCACTTGGATGATTGCACGACGGATGATAATCGTCAAGATGATTGCTCTGTCCAAATCCGCGTTTTTTTTTTTTCAGTCATACGACGTTTAGTTATTACAGTTTTAATTCCTTAGGTATATTGGTTTTATATCACTTGATTCTCTTTTGTTTAAAAGCCCCTAATCCACAACCAAATGTATGCGACTGGCCACGTGGAACTTGTACTTATAACAAAGAGCCTTGTCCTCCAAACTGGCATCGCTGCTCTCAGTTTGACAAAGGATGCAGACTTCCAACAAACCACTGCTGCTGCCGTAGGTAAGCTGATGATACTAATGAGTAAGTCTAATTTGCTATTTCCTGTATAGATTAAGTGAAGAGGTGACCAAGATGAACCCTCTGAAAACCACCCTATGTAGCAAAAGAGTTTGACTCAGTTGCCAAAAGTAAACCAGTAAATAACACAAAAAAAGCAAAACAAAAAAAACAAAAACAGGGCAAAATATTGTCCCCTCAGTAGTGTCATATATCAGAACTGGGGAGTGACTATTCAAGGTGCAAAAAGAGACGCCACTTGGATGGGAGCATGCGTGATTGACATACAGTCAATTTTCTCTGAGATAGACACCTTTGGGACGGGCACTAATTGCGTCCGTCTTAGAGAGATGTCCTTCTTAAAGAGAGTCCACTAAAAGGAGCAAAGAAAGGCAGGGACCTAATTTAGGTGTCCTTTTTAGCGAGGTGTCCATTAAGAGAGAGCTGACTGTATATATCGGTCAAGGTTGAAGAAATATCCAGTAAACGAAAAAGCAAATAATGACATGCGAAAATACTGCCAAAGAGATTTCGTTTAAAACCTCACCCTGGCGTAGGATTTTATGAGCCACACAGGGAGCCCAAACAAACTGAAGTTAGAGGAAATGTATATGGGGATAAAATAAAAATAAGTAAATGATGATTTAGTGATACCACATCTAATTAATTGTTCTTCGTCTACCTGATTCTTGGTCGGATTGGAATTTGGAACTGTTGGCTTTTTAGGAGAGGGGAAAATCGAAGTACTCGGAGAAAAACCTCTCGGAGCAAAGGAGAGAACCAACAACAAACTCACACTCATATGGCGTCGACGCCAAGTTTGAACCCGGGTCACATTGGTGGGAGGCGAGTGCTCTCACCACTGCGCTACCTGAAAGCAATATATCTTATCTTCAATACAAAATTAAATTTAAACTCTTTTGTTTAATTTTGATTTAATAATAAAATGTTTTTCCTTTCTTTGTTGCAGTTACTAATAGACCTGAGGTTAATGGTGGTATCACAAAACGCCTTATGCTTTAATTAAAATAGAAAATGAACAATAATGAAAATAGATGGCTGAAACATGCATAATCAAGTAATAACACTATGAATAAATCCTGCAAACTCATTTGTCATGAGTTTAATTTATCAGCTTATTGCTGGTTTGGCACGGCAGCCATGTTGGTCGTCAAGAACAAAAGAACTTCTCTCCTCTGAGAATTAAACTCAAATTTCATGTAAATTCTTGAAAAAAGTTTTTATTGTATTGACCACCAACATGACCTCCTTGTCACTGATGGTTGCAAACAAGAATTACCAACCAATCCTAGGATCAGAGCTTGTGTTTCAGTATGAGAATAGCATCCAAAAAAAGATGAGGAAATCATGCTTAAATAAACGAGGAGGAAACAAGTCTTCCATATGCACTATTTTATCTGTGAAGAGATCTTAGATGTTTTTATAGTGCCGAAATCTCAAGCGAGTTACGCAAACCTCATCCACACGGAGATCAATCTTGATATTCCTTTGGCAATGCATTAGCTAATCTTCCTGGGATTTCTACTTCTAGGAGTCATTGTCTATATAAAAAAAATTAACACTGATCACCTTTAAAAAAACAAAAACATTTGTTGTTGATCATAGATAGAGGAGACGCAAACATCGAATGAGTTTATGTTCAAAGCACCTTCATTTTGTTTTCTGTTGGCAAACATTTACGGAATAAATTAAAACTTTGTCAATATAACAAAATGGAGTTTCTTTTTGAACGTTGTGACTTTGTATACAAAAACATATAACAAAGGAGTCTGACATATTTCATTTTTCAATTAAAGATTGAATGACTTCAAACTATTTAATTTGTAAAATTAGAGTTAAGCTGCCTGAATCATTTCATTTTTAAAAAAGGAAAACTTTATAAATGTATTAAAAGAATTGTGTTACAAAAGAGTTTACTTATGTCTGTTTATTTTCTTTTTTTTCTTTTAATGAATGGAGTTATGTTCAGTTCTGATTGTAAATTACATGCTGGATCGGATAAATAAGACAATGAGTGGCTATTATTGGTAGGGACGTAGGCAATTAAGTATTGTGCCAGACTCCAATATGAACAGGGGGAAGAGTCTACCACCAAACCAAAAACTCGAACAGTGGCTTAGCTGCCTTTAAGCTATTATGCCTGGGCTTAACAAGAATTTGGGTCAATATCGCCAGATAAAAGGGCGTGAAACTGCAACTCAATGTCTGTCGCCACGATGGGTATTCTAAAGTAGATTCGTTGTAGGGATCTCCTACAACTACTAATAACTACAAAATGAACCAATGAGTAATTCGATCGATCTTTGTTGTTTATCTGAAACATGGCTGTGACGTGATATTGACAGCGCATTTGTTACCCCAGAAGGGATATTTAATGCTTCGAAAGGACCGAGCCAAACATGGAGAGGCGGTGGAGCTGCAATTTTGTCTAGGAAAGACTGATAGATGTGAGTGGCAACGAGTAAGAATGTGGGCAAAGGTATCTACGACCAATCACGATTACTTTGTTCCCTCGGTTTACCATCCAGCGTCCTTTGATTATTATGAAACGGCTTTTATTGAATTCTTAGTTAATTCCTGCGAAAACATTCTTGGTATCTCGCCTGAATGCAAGGTTAATTACTGCTGGTGACATTAATAAACTTGACTTGAATTCTCTTACACAAGAAAGTGGTCTTTCGAAACTGGCCAAGACTCCCGAAAAGGAATGACAGTATTTTGGAAGTATTTCTGACACCGAATATTTTGGGAAAGTGTGCACTTCTAAGAACCTGACTAAATCGGATCATTCCAGTGTATTTATTTTCCCCAAGGTACAAAGTCCCCCAGTGAGATTTGTCTTTGAATTTATTGTCGCCCGGTCTGACCATCATAAGAACTGAAGCTTAATGTTACAGAAACCACAGCGGGCTATTGATTGGTCAACTGTCCTTGCTGAAAATGATATCAACATTGCTACTGACAAGTTTTAGTATATCGTCCATGAATACTTCAGGATAAGCTTTCCCTCTTTACGGGTTCAAAATTTCATCAAAAGAGCCTTCTTTTAAGTCGCCTTTGTTAAAACATCTTCTGTCGAAAAGGAATATAAAGTTACTGATGAAAGGGATGGTACAGGAGGCTAGTTTTTTACAACCAAGGATAAAACATCTTATCAAAGAGAATCAGTTGAATCTGACCAAGGTTAACAATTAAAAACCTGAAATGGGTAGCACATTATTCAATGTGAACTATATTAACACTCACTTTCAGTCAATCAACACAGACCCAAATTATATCAAACCAGCCCAACTGGAGATTATGGAGCATCATAAATTTCGTGTGATTCATGAAATATCGGTCTTCAATGCATTGTCGCATGTGAAAAGGATTGCCACTGACCCAGATGACTTACCTTTTGCTTTTGGAAGGAGAATGCCCTGGAACTCTCACCTGGGATAACACATATTTTGAATGTTTCCTTAGTCACCCAGCAAGTCCCTAAGAATTGGAAGACTGCAAATGTGCGCCCTATTCCTTAGGAGACAAATAATTCTGCTTTACTGACCAGCGTAGACCAATATCAGTCACTGACATTATCATGAGACTTCTTGAAAGATTAATCCTGGATTTCGAATTGAGGAAACCGGTTTCCTGCTTTATTCATTCAGATCAGTTTGCCTATAAGAAGGATTGTATAACTGAGACTTCCCTATTATTTAATCAATACTTTTGGATGAGATGGCTTTACCCTTGCGAAATGAATTCCCAGCTTTCTGGGAATTCCTAGGAATTCCCAAAAATTCCCAACTATGCAAATCAGCCTTCATCAAATAAGCTTGGAATTCTTGAGAATTTTTGGGAATGGCAAATTAGGTCTCACTCTAGGCTTGGAATTCCTAGGAATTCCTAGGAATTCTAAGTTTTACAATTTTAGAAGCTTAAGAATTGTTGAGAATTTCTGGGAATAGAAAAATTCAGGCCAACTGGGCTTGGAATTCCTGGGGATTCCTAGGAATTCTAAGTTATGCAAATTAGGAACTCAGCTCAGGGATGTTTAAAAATCAGAAAGACTTTAAAAATTGTAGAAGATTTTGTAGTCTCTTCTTATTTTTTCACATTTTAATTTTAAGTGATTGCACTGAAACAATTCTAAACTTATAATACAGAACATACTGGTAATGTATACTTCTATACTTACATTCTTATATTCAACTCAATGTTACCTTAATCTGGTAATGCTGACATGTGGCGAATGCTGTTCACAAACCTCCAACCAGTATTTAAATTAAGATAACAATTTAACGTATCTAAATTACGTTATTACAGCATGTTACAGCAATAAA